TAGCAGCGAATAGCAGGCGCCTAAGTGCTCTGTTCAGTTCTTATCACATTGGCGACAGATAACCACAGATGACCACCAGGAATGGACTAGTTGGTAATATACGATCACCCCCTTATGGGTATGGGCCTGGTAGTAGTCAGCTAAATATTACTATGACCCCGGTGAGTCTCTGGACGGTTGATGTACCGGCAGATGGGCTTGTTAGGTGTATTCTGTCCAAATTTAGTGTCTATCCGTCCAGTGGTTTTTGAGTTATGTTAATCCCACAAACGAACATTACATTTTTATTTATAAAGATTTAAATGTTTAATTTACCTACATTGTTTGAAGGCATCAAATAGTTGCCTAAGTGTAAGCTGCCTTGAGTCCCCTCCAGGGTGGAGAATGGCAGGGTAGAAATGTTGTAAATAAATAAATAAAAATAAATTTCAGCTGCCCTGGCTCAATGCTGTGAAATCCTGACATTTGTTGTTTAGTGAGCCAACCACACTCTTTGGCAGAGAATGCTTTTAAAACTACAACTCTCAGGATTCCATAGTGTTGAGCCGTGGCAGTTGAAGTAATTGCATTACTTTTCACATGTCAGACTACATAGAGAAACCATTGAAATCCACAAGCATGTGGACAATTTTAACAAAAAGGAGAAAACCATGAAAATTAACAAAAACTCTAAAATCAGAACAGTAAAGAAAGAACAACACTCAAAAATAGAGGAATTCCAGACAAGAAACAATCTGGGCCAGCTAACACCTCCAAACAAAGGATTCCCGCGGGTTTTGAAACTGCAAGGCCATTAAATGCTAACCAAGGTGGCCAATTGCAACATTCACATTGCCTCCAACAGAGAAGAGTTCTTTTTTCCATCCTGGACATTCCACAGATATATAAACCTCATTTGCTTGGTTTCCGACAAACCCCTCAACCTCTGAGGATGCCTGCCATATAGGTGAGTAAAACACCAGGAAAGAATGCTTCTGGAACATGGCTATACATCCCATAAAACACACAGAAACCATGCATTCCTTCTGCAAGGTAGATGCACTATTATTCATGTGGCATTAAATTCTGCCTTGGCAACCAGGTTCACTGGTTGCCAAGGCCACAAGATGAATCCATGAAGAAGTCAAGGGTCCTATCACATTACATTGTTATAGCACAATTATTCCACCTCAGCTGCTGTGGTTGCATCCTGTCATTTACGAAAGCCTGGAAAATCAGAGAGATGC